TTATGCTATACCCCCTTATTAGCTGATTTAACACAGTATTCTTACAGTTGGTGTTCTTCATGGGTCTTTTCTGGGAGAGTACGTTTGTCCTCAGGAAGCCGGGGATTTTCTGCTTCCAGACTAAATAGAAAGTGATAACCATCACTGATTACCATTGTGGTTAAACAAAAACATTTACCCACACAAATTCAGAGTTGTTCAGTGGAAAGTCATGGCAAAATCTGGAGTTTGGCAAGACTTGGATAAAAATAAATTTGCTTATTAAAACAAAGTAAGAAAGAACTGGAGAAAATCCCCAAATTTACAAGTGTAACCATGGGATGAAACCTGTTTTTGTCATTCTTCTTCTTTTTTCTTTCTTTCTTTTCTTTTTTTTTTTTTTTTGTCACACCTCAAACACTTCAAAATGTGTTCTGTTTTATTAATGTCTTTGCCTCGAATTAACCTTAAGCTGATGGATGGGTACTGGATTGATCCCACAATGGAAATTACAGCAGCAGCTCACAGTACATACAAACATATGCTGTAGTACTTAACTATAAACATCAAGTACTATAGCACAATACTGAAGGCCTCATAATGTGAGGTAATACAAAGTTATACATGCAACAGTAATTAAGTAAAATGATAGCTTGATGTTTTTGTTGATCTTCATTTCCTTAATTCCCCATAAAACATTTTGAAAACCTTAACTTTCTTCCTTCTGGACCATTCGGTATAAAACGGTGAGCTTCGCCTGGCATTTATAATTTTCTGTGGGAGAGCAGAATTCATGTTTCTGTTAATCATGATGATTAATGGTGACTGTCTTACAGATAGTTTAACTTAGAACTCAGTGATCCAGGAGAAAGTTTTGAGGGTCATCAAGGTGTGCTGTGCTAAAAGGGCGATTACAGATGTGTGTGGCGTTCAGTACTTTTAGTGTTTACTTGTCTTTTAGATTTTATTTGTATTTGACCATTGTGTATATGGTAAACTTCATTATTACGAAAATGGTGATGGCTGGTGCAGGGTTGGTAGAAAGATAATGTGGAGGGGATGGAAGTCTGTTTTGCAGCATTAGCACCATTCTAACTTCAGATTTTTGTATTCTGCTAGGCCTAGCCTCCACACCCCAGGGGCTCAAATACAAGGTAATTGAGCTTCCTTATCATGGCAACACCATCAGCATGCTAATCGTTCTCCCGTCTGAAGAGGACACCCCTCTGTCTCATGTGATTCCCCACATCAGCACAGCCACAGTGCAGAGTTGGACCAAACTGATGCACATGAGGAAAGTCCGCCTGCTCATCCCAAAGTAAGGCACAAACGCACATAAATATAATGTCCCTTCAAATTTGATACATGGTGACATTGTCTGTTACGTTGTGTTCTCAGGTTTACGGCTGATGCAGAGGTGGATTTGAAGGATCCACTTTCAGCTCTGGGAATCACGAACATTTTCAGTGAGGGCAAAGCTGACTTCAGACACCTCAGTGAGTGAAAGCAGAGTCACTGCAAACCAGACGCTGACGCATGTTCTCTTGCACCACCACAGTATTTATCCAGTCTATTTAGATATGAGCAGAGCCTGGAAGTATGAATGGATTGTTGCTGTTTACAGAGAGTCACTGATGGCCAGTAAGGAGCTTGAATCGTAGTTGGCTGTTCACTGTGAAACACTGAATCACTGCTCCTCTTGTCTCGCCATTCATCATCTTCTTGAAAGTTTGGAATGAGAAGAGATGGGGATGAAGAGCTCTAGTGCCACCCTGTGGTGTAATTGGCCAAGAGTTTGTAGGATTTTCCCTAGGAAAGTACCCCATCAGCTTTCCAGCAGATGGGGATGCTCTATTGCCATCATGTGGTGTAGCTTACAAACATACTTTTATATTTATGCAATCTATGTTGCATGTGGCAAGTCTGGTTCATACTGAGAAAGCAAAGATGATTGTGTATTGTTGTTTCCTCAGGTTCGGAGCCTGTGCATGTATCCAAGGCACTCCAGAAAGCCAAAATAATCGTGAATGAAGATGGAACAAAAGCAGCAGCAGCCACTAGTGAGCATTTGTTCAGTAAGCCTCATCTTTAACTTAAAGTTTCTCCCATGTTTTAACAATGTTCTGTTTTGCTTTTGTTTAGCTGCTATTTTGTTGGCCCGTTCCTCCCCACCCTGGGTTACAGTTGACAGACCTTTTGCGTTCCTCATCAGACATAACCCGACAGGTACAGATTTTCTTCCATCTCCACCTTAAAATGCTGAAAAATGTTTGATTGTAAAGCACGGCACCATGACGAGTTCTCCTTGCGTCTGTCTCCAGGTACCGTCCTCTTCATGGGCCAGATCAACGAGCCTTGAGCCCAGCCCCGTCATCAACCACAGCATCATTTATCACAACAGGATATGCTTATACACTGCCATGTATCAGAATACAAAGTAAACATAAACACACCCCTACATATACAGAACACACTTTGCTGAACATGTTTGTACAATGTGGATATATGATGTGATTTGTTTTAAATGTTGCTTTTTATGTTACTTATTTTCTGTATTGCATAACATGCTGTATAAAATGTATTTTGCTGACTAAATTTTCCAGCTGTTTTAATTTTTTTGTATACTTTTTTTTGAATTGATGACATTTTTAAAAGACTTTGAATGTCAGTTGTGTATTTTCTCTTCTCTGGAGTAGGATAATCAGTTTATTTATCATGTCAGTGTTTCCGTTTCGTGTTGTAACTCCAGTCTGTATTACGTTTCACTCGTAAGTTACGGCAATATTGATGCCGTTGCAACGATTTTGCATTTGAAATTATTCTTTCCCTCAGAGAGAAAGTCTTCTTCAAACTTTTGGGGTGAGGTGGAGGAATAAATACACATTTATAACATGATTGATTTTTGACTGTCTTATTTTCTGTAATCCAGTTAGGGAAATGACTGGATTACATAACCACCCCCCCACCCCCCCTCCAGTTGAATTTGTAAGTTTGCCCGAATAAATAAACGTTCTCTGATGTTTCTGTCAGTTCAGTTAAGTTTATTTTAATAAAGACAGAATATCAAATAAAAATCAAAAAAACACTTTGCATAAAAGTTATATATTTATTTGGATGTTATTGAGTGAAATAAGTATTTGATGTCCAAGCAAAACACTTTGTAATCGGGGGAGAAACTCTTGTTGGTGTGCACAACACTTTCTTGTAGTTGGTTACCAGGTTTGCACACATCTCATGAGGGATTTTGGTCCGCTCCTCTTTACAGAAACGCGAAATTCTTTAGGTTACTTAGCTGCTGCTTAGCAACTCCAAGCTTCAGCTCCCTTCGCAGAATTTCTATAGGACTTAGGTCTGGAGATTGGCTGGGCCACTCCATGTACTGGTTCTTTAGCTACTCCATTGCAGCCTTGGCAGTGTGTTTCAGATCATAAGTTTTACACAAAACGAGTTGAGATCAGGAATCTCGAATTCATTGAGTGTAATCAAATCTGTGGGAGCCAGAATTCAGGCTGGGTTGTAATGGATGAAATACTTATTTCATTCAATGACATGCAAATCAATGCGTAACTTTCATGAATATATTTCTGGATTTTCCGTTGCTTTTCTCCACTAAAAAATGAAAGTATCATAAGATTTGAGACTGTTCAATTCTTTTGAAATGAGCAAACTTATACATTTAGCAGGACATCAAATAATTATTTTCTCTACTATGGTAGTTTTACATGTATATCTGAATATTATGGTACTTTTTTTTTTCAATTATAGACTCTCTGGCAGTCATATATTAGTAATTTAGCACATCCATCTAGTTTTTAGTCAGCGTCAACAACAAAACAAAAGCTTTTCATTATTGAGGGTCATGGATGGCTTGTTTATACAAGTTCCACAGGAATTTCTTTTTTCTGTATTGGTCATGTGGGTGCCAATAAAACCCCTGGTAAAAAGTCAAAATCCTGTGTTACATAAATGAATTAAAATATATTTTACAAATTGTTAAAACCCTATATATCATTTACAATAGGACAAAGACACCAATTTTACCATATACAGTACTGTGCACACTCTACTGTATCTCCTTGCATGTCTACATGTCTCTGTCTTTTTTTTTCTTTTGTTTTCTTTTCCTTTTAAAAAAAATATAGATGCAAATGGTAGCATATACAATGAGAAGAGAACTGGACAAAGAATGAGACTTTGAGGTACTCCGTATTGCATGCGAACAGTGTTAGAAGAGGATCTGCTAGTCAGGTAAGACTAAAACATTATCTCAAGAAGTGAGATCTAGATCTTCTACTTGGACTGAATGCAGCAGTGAGATTCAGTAATACGAGTATACAGAGTCGCCATCATCAACAATACATCAGAGACTATTAAAAAGTCTTAAAAGAGCAGGTCCTGTGCTGTGATGGAATATCAAACCAGACTAGAAACGACACCAGTATCATTATCGTGTAGAAAAGCCTGCAGCTGCTGGAAGAACACTTTCTCTAACCGTTGGATAGACTGAGACTGGTCTAAAATTAGATGGTTCTGCAAGGTCAAAATGTATTTCTTAATGACAGATTTGTATTGGTTTTACTCGTTTTAAGAAGGTTGTCTACGGAAGAGGATTAGGGCCACTGGGGAAAAAAAGTGGGCACGTCTTTTTTTTCTTCTTTTCCAGAATTCAGAGGAAAAAAGTCAGAATTCTGAGATTAAAGTCAGAAAAGAAGAAAAAAATAGACGTGCCCAGTGGCCTTAATCCTCTTCCGTAGGTTGTCACTGTCCCTGTCATTGAACAAATATTTGTAATTGTTGGTGGCCCTATTACGTGAAAAACTCGTTTAAACAGACGAAAGGGAATTATATGTGATTTGGGTCTAACTCAGCAATATTAGTTAGCGTCTCGTGGCACTTGTTGCTTGTGTTGTGATCCAGCATCTGGAAAAACCAAATAGTCTCGCATACAGCATTTATAAAATTCACAGTCTGAATTCGTTGGTCGCATTCCTCACGTTATTACGGTGATCCCGACAGCGGCTCCGGGTGTCAGCTGATCCTCCTTTACTGGCGAGTAAGGAGGAAAATCAGCTGAAGGAAAACACTCCTGGCTAGTTAAAACCATGGCTGCGGAGATTCACTCGAGGCCCCAGACAGCTAGACCGGTTCTGTTGAACAAGATCGAGGGACACTCGGACGCTGTCAATGCAGCCGTTTTAATACCCAAAGAAGATGGAGTAATCACGGTTAGCGAGGACAGGTATGTTTACCAGACAAGCTAAGTGTAGCCTAATACGAGCTAGCGGGGGCTCGGTCTATTTACTGGTCTTTAGACTCATAATACCTGGTGCACTGGCTTAAGAAGGACAGAATAAAGATAATAAGCAACGTGTATCGCTTTGAGAATATATATTTTCTAGGCTTCATAATAGCCGAGGAGAGCGTAGGAGGGTGTGGGGATAGAAATACACTCAGAATCTGAGTTCAATCCGGAAAATCTCTGGATAATAGTAATAGACCTAATACGAAATGTAAAAATAAAGCTTCTTTTGTTCAGTATGTACCGTTTATTATTACTACTCGTGGCTTAATATGTGTAAAGATATTAAAACTGCTTGCAATGTTGTGCTTACTAGCTAGCTTGCTACCGAGTACAGTAAACATTACTGTCAAAATGATGCCTTCAGGTGCTCGAGGATTTATTTGTCGAAATGGAACCCATTTTTGTAGTAATCGAAGTGGCTGTGATTTTTATTTTTTTTGTGGACATTAAATACCACACTTAGACATGTTAGATTTTAGAAAATGCATGCTTGGTCACAAGTGTTAAAAAAAGAGACTACATCCACCTTCAGAGTAAAGGGAACTCAGTTAATACGAACAATGTTACACAGTACATATGAAAAGGAGAAGTTGTGGGGTGTTAAAACAGGTTCCTTGAAGAAAGCTGCACAGACGCTGTGTTTCATGTCTGTTTTTCTTTTCCTCGCATGCAGACACGTTACTTGCTAGTAAATGAAACTGACTGAATTCCCTTTTTAATCGAAGAAAAAGGCTGTGGGAAGCGTACTTTGACTGCACTTGAAATGAAAAGTGCTGAAGATGCAACAGTACACGAGAATCCCGCAAAGCTGCCCAGTTTCCTGTGTAAATGGCACGTTTAATGACTGAGTCATAAGGTGTTACAGTGGAAAGAATCACAACCAAATCTGCATTAGAAGTGCTTTTGTTAAAATCAGGTTCCAGATGTTAGCAGGCCAAAAGAAGATCCAAGAAGTGGTTTAATGCTAAGTTTAGCTTTGAGTCACCTCTTCTACAATGTGGTTTCATTTGTGATCTCAGTCAAGCATGAAGTCGGCATCACTTCTGGTATTAATATTACTTCTGACAGTCAGGTCATGTCAAGGTACAGAGTACTTTCCTCCATGGAAGGTGTTAAGTTGAATGTCATAAAATACGTCCTGCACAGAATGAGAATGTTGTTGCTTGTAGTTAACTGAACACTGGAGACTACATTAAATGTTCGCCTGTGTGACATGTTCCTGCAGAACCATCCGTGTGTGGCTGAAGAGAGACAGTGGTCAGTACTGGCCGAGCATCTACCATACAGTCTCCTGTAAGTAACGCTGTATCACGCTTGGGTGAGACTACTTTGAAATGTCATCAGTTACTGATTTTATTTGACATGGCTGTTTCTCCCATTAGCCACGTACTTAACTGCTGCAGAATCAAGAGTGCCACAAATGTTGTTATTGATCACATATTCTCATATATCTTCGTGTGTTTCTTACAAGTGCATTTTTATCGCTGCTGCTTCGTAATCAGATCAGGTTGAGGTTTTTCCTGATGACAGAAGGGTTGTGTCTGGCTTGCACTGCTCATGAACGTGTCTGTGTTGCACATTTTTGAAGTTAGAGAGACGGCGATGTTGCCAGGGAGGAATTTTAGAGGGATGACATCTACTGCTCGATTTCATCTTAATGCAATCTTTCCTGTCCTCACAACAAAAGAGGCATGAATTAGTAGCAGTTGGTCTTTATGAAAGAACCTTTTTCTAATTTGAATCCTTCCATAATTTAAAGCTACAGCTGAAGTCAGAATTAAACAAATACATTCAGAAACTGATGACAGTTATTTTCATCCATTACCCCCCTGCTCTGACTGCATTTACAGCCATATAATGAAACCCCCTGTGTGTGACGTTGCCGCTCACTGTGAATGTCTTCACTTCTTTCCAGCTCCATGCTCTTGCATGTCGTATCACCACGACAGCAGGCGCATCTTCATAGGCCAGGACAATGGGGCGATTGTGGTGAGTGCAGCTAACCCAGACACGTTGGCTTCATATTTTATTTGTTGAATCTGGCTTTAGGGGGTTTGAAGAGTTATTTGATTTGAAGTTATTTCTGTTTGTTTGCTCGAATTGCAGGAGTTTCTCATCTCCGAAGACTTCAACAAGATGAACCACGTGAAAACGTATCCAGGTGAGATCATGAGATGAGAAAATTAATAGAAGAAGAGTCCAGTTTGAGTGTATGAGGCTAATCAGCGAGTCATTCGACTTAAATAAAAGGCCTAACTCTACGTGGTGGATTATTAAACCACAGATGATATCAAAATCAAAGGCAATGATGAAGTGCCTTAAAACTGCATTCTTTTTAATAGCAACCAGGGGCATTACCTGGCAGGTGAACAGGTCAAAAGGTCATATAGAAGTCTATGGGACAACAGCCCTCAGCCTTGACTTGTGTGAAAACTTTCCTGATGATTTTATGGCCTAAATGATTCATTTAAGGTCATAATGAATAACACATTAAGTCTATTTTAAAAAATTCTGGTCATTGTAAGTTGCAGAAAGGAGGCTTATCCAGGGTATCGGCTAATGACTTGTTAAAACACACTTTGTGTGGTTTGACAGTCACAGAACAGCCACACAGGGGGAGCAGCGTGTGTTTATGTGAGAGGAGCAGTGTTTGCACAAACATGTCTACTTTCTGATGAACGAGAGCAAGTACTGAACACGGAGGAGCCACTGAAACTAAAATATCGATCCTAGTATTGATTCGATGCCAATATCAGCATTGGCATCAGTACTGTTGATATTTAGATTGGTTGCCCCTCCCCCCAAATAAAAAGTTGTCAAATGATTGTTACTTCACTCTATCTGTACTTTTTACACATCCATTTCCCTTTTCAAACTTCAAAAAGCTTGTAAAGAAGAACTTGTCAGTTTCCGGTTAGTGGACACTATGACACAGCAAAGGCCCTGACTGACAGCTGGGAGGTTAATAAGTGAGGAAATGAGATTGAAAACTTTCTTGGTTGGTGCATGACTCACCAGATTAAGAGAGAAGGAAAAAGACAGTATTACAAATGTGCCACGGCTTCAGCTGGTCCGGGATGTCAACAGCCCTTAGCCTGAGTGAGTCATCTGTTGCAGAGATGCTGCAAATGAGCTGTCAAAAAGAGAACTGATGACGTGGTTTGAAAACTACTGGTGTATTATCAAATAGCATCACCCACAAAATATTTCTTCATCGCAATAAGAAGTCAGAAGGTCAGCCCTCCACAAATGCACGTTTAAACTGTGCTAATAGATCTAAGTTTGAGAAACTTCTTTTGCTTTGTAACACAGGCACCTTTAAACTGTTGTTCCACTGTGATCTTCATCTGCTGTTATACTGCCACTGTTGCTTGTTCCTGTGACTGTACCAGCAGCTATTTATCCTCCTCAGCAGGCTTGAGCCAGCACATGTCACCACTATAATGGTCCATCTGGTTTCTACCGTTCGTAGCACAATCAAGCTGCCAAGCCTGACTGGCAGCGACAGAAACCCACAGTCAGTTTAAACATACACGAGGGCTGTGCGCTCAGAGCCATGCACAGTTTAGCATCATCACTGGCAGGCAGTGTTAATTTCCTTAGAGCTGTACATGAGAGAACATTGACCTCTTTTAATGTCCTTTATGCCAGCACGTGTTCAGTCTGCTTCTAAACTTTTGTAAAAGAATGATTTTAGAAAAATCTTTCCTCTCTGGACTTCAGTTTAATTACTTAGCAAAGTCTGTGCTCCGTTTATTATGTGAGCGTGTTCATCGTGACCTGGTGAGGACATTCTTATTTGTCGTTATTAGTCATAATAGATGTAATAGCCATTACATCACCAGCACTCAAGTCGCCCACAGATTACAGATTTAAGTAAGTAAGCTAGATGGATTTAGGGGATAAAAATGTTCCTCTAGTTATGCAGACAAGACAAATGCAGTAAAAAGGAGTACAGACACCGGAAATACAAAATGGATAGTAATGGAGAGAATTAGTCATGTGGTCATGTGCACTTGGATTAGGCAAATATGACTCCCTTCTGAACTTTATCAGTGATGTTTTACATTTCTCTCAGCCATAAAGATAATGGCAGTAATAAATGAGAAGGTTGTGGCATTTTACATTCAAAAGTTCCAAAGGTTAGCTTCACTGTGACGTCTATAAAAAACACACACACAATTTAATTCCATAATTCAGGCTCAGAAGAGGAGTTTGAGACTATTTTTTTTTTTTTATTTGTCTTTGATTTGGTAACGCTGACACTTGATTATTCAGTTCTGTACATGTGAACTTTACTAGTTAACAGAAGAAAACAACGGCAAGGCAATTATTCTGATTAGTGACATAAAGTGATTTGATTTAAAGCTGCTGTAGTCACCATATTTATTTTTTCAGTGATTTAAATAAGCACACAATGGTTATTTCACTCATCTCACCCAGGTCATTTGGAAAGATTTTTTT